CGATTATCTGATCAGATCATTTGCACGAAGTCAGCCCTTGCAAACATTGACACGAAGTCCACACGCGCGCGCACATGTCGACACCAGACCAAACACACCAGTTTCGCAGACATTCCAAAATGAAACACATACAACGCATCATAACAAATCTCGCAGATTGTTTGCCCGCGCGCAGTTGCTATATGACAACCACCTTATTCCAGCAATGTTCTCCAGAACCCGCATTCTCATGTCGCCGCGCGGTGCATCCGCCTTGATCTAGCATGCGCCCGGCATACCAATCCGCATCAAACAATACCGTGCAGGCCACGTGCGCGTTGCCACGCGCGCGTGTCGAAATCTTGCCAACACAGTGTCGTTTTCGAAGCATTCCAGATACAGCTTTACAAAACCATATGAACCACATTAATTGTTGCAGCAACACGCCTGCCAGTCGTTTTGCATGTCCGCGCGCTTACTTACTCACCATCACCCTCATCAGCGCCATCCCATCATCTGTTATTGTTATCGCCAACCGAAGCTACTGCCGCCATCGCCCGTCAATCAAGTTCATCACCGACACATGGACGTCATCATCGTCATCGTTGTCACGTGCATCGGTGCCGTCATGGACCTTGCCGTCGTAATCGTTATCCTTGCCGCCACCACCGCTACTATCATCACCGTGGCCGCCGTTGCCGACGTCATCATGATGCCGCGCACGCCCAAGTCACCGACCCGCTCTGAAGTGCGCGAACGTCAGCGCGGCCTTGGAGACGCGCTGAGAAATTCTCACTGATATGCGCTATCGCGGCCGCGCCAGTTGTGCCAAACCAGAGGGCCGCCCTGCGCACGAGCTCGCCATCGCTGGCGCAGCCGGAGGGACAAGCCAACCAGTGACAAGCCAACACAGTGCCAGCGAGTAGTGGGGAAGACGTGATTCGCAAGCTCAAGAAGCGATGGCGGGCGAAGCGGTTTGGAGTGAAGATCGACGGCGCCTGCCTGACGAATTTGAGGTTTGCCGACGACATCTTATTACTGGGGGCGACAAGGGCGCAAGTCAAGCATATGCTCGAGGACCTCAGCCTCGCGGCCGCTGAAGCTGGACTGAAACTTCACAGCGGGAAAACGAAGATCCTTTCCAACCTGCAGAACTGCAAGGGCGTTCTTCGGCAGCCGCACGTGCAGGTGGGGGTGGGAGATGTTGAGGTCGTCCCGCCTGAGTGTGGTATTGCATATCTCGGCCAGTTTCTGTGCTCCGACGAGTTCCACGATGCTGAAATATCGCGCCGGCTGGATAAAAGGGTGGGCGGCCTTCGGTAAATTCAGAAACGTCTTATGCGACAAGCATTATTCTCTCGCGTCTCGGCTACAACTTCTCGACTCTGTTGTCATTGCTACAGTATCATACGGAAGCGGCTGCTGGACAATGACTTCGGAGAAAGAGAAAACGGCTGCAAGGCGAGCGGCGACGGATGCCACGGACAATCGTCGCAACACCAAGGCTGCGCTTGGGGCAGCCCGGAGACGAGGACCTAGAGCCGTGGGTCGACTGGATGGTGCGGGCCACGCACAAAGCGAAGACCGTGTACGAGAAGGCCGGATTCATATCATGGGTCGCATTGCAGCAACGTCGCAAAGCTGCTCTCTGGGAGAAGATCGATGTTTCCACAGATGGAAGGTGCTCAAGGAAGCTTCTTCAGTGGAGTCCTAGTGGCCTTCGGTCGCAAGGACGGCCACACAAACGGTGGACAGACTGAGAGCAAGGCCGGTTTCTGAGGCAATTCTGCGCGTTGTATTTTCTAGTGCCCGGCAGCCCTTCCACGGGCGCGGACACCGCGCACGCCGGACCTCGCTCGCTCGCAAGGTAGGTTGTACCACGTAGCTTGCACCTTTCAGCATCCACCACGTAGTTTGCGCCGCAGAGACGTAGATTGCATCATACCACTCGCACCACATTGATTCTCCTTTCTAAAAGAAGAATAGACTCTACCGCCCCCATAGTCAACGATCGCCCTTTTCGTAGTGCAATTTTCACATGATTCTGTCCCATCGTCCATCCTAAATTTGAACTCGTACTATCCCAGCCAGGCCGGTATCACCCCCCCCCCGCCATCCTCTGCAATAGTATTCTGCGCTCGCTCTCGTTTATATCAAAATTCACAAGTTTTCAATAATCGCTAGCAAACGATGGGACGAAATTCACACGCGCGCGTCGTCGCGCACGCATGCTGGAATCGATTTCGGAAGAATGTCAAAACCGAGTTTCCCAAACACATACAACAACACATGGTTTCGCAACATTGATTTCCAAAAAACTTTCTCGCGCGCTCGTGCGAAATATTGAAAAACCCATGATTTTCCATTCGTTTCAAAAAATACTACCAAATGGGCTTCGCGCGCGCATGTCGAAATCATTCGCACGCCCTTGCGCGCGTGCTGTGGCGAAGTTCCGCTGCACAGAATGCGACGAAAGCTGACGCGCGCGTCGTCGCGCGCGCATGTCGGAATCCTTCAATAACCTTCGGGTCCGGAAGAATTTCGAAATCGAATTTCCCAAACACATGCAAAAACACACGGTTTCGCAACACGGGTTTTCAACAAAAGCGTGCGCGCGCGCGCTTTTGCGTCGTCGTCGTCGCCGTCATCCCTCCTCCCTCGTCGTCGTCGTCGCCGCCGTCGTCGTCCTGTGTCTTTCTTTGTCGTCGTTGTCGTCGTCGTCGTCGTCGTCGTCGTCCTCTTTGGCGTCGTCGTCGTTTTCGTCGTCGTTGTCGCCGTGGTCGTCCTTCCTCCTCCGGGGTCGTCGTCGTCGTCGTCGTCGTCCGTCGTCGGCGTCTCGTCGTCGTCCCTCCTATTGCGAAGGCCTTACGGCCGATGTCCGCCGACCCCGAAGGGGGACGATGAACGACGACGACGACGACGACGGCGACGGCGACGACGATCGCGAGTCCTTGTTGGGGCCTTCCCGGGCCCTCTTGGGCTTTCCTGGGGGGCCTTTGGGCCGTCTTGGGGCCTTCCCGGGCCATCCTGGCGTGTACTTGGGCCGTTCTGGGGAGCTCTTGGAGGGAACTGGGGCCGACGTGGAGTGTATGAAGCCTGGAAGTCGAGCAGGCGAAAAAACATGGGCGATTTCGGGACCTCCTGGTAGCCTCTTGGGGAGCTTGAACTGTGGGTTGGTTTTCCCCTTCTTCGGCCTCTCTTGGGGTGTTCCTGGGGCTCTCTTGGGCGTTCTCGGTCGGAAAAGGGGGAGGGGGGGGATCACGATTCGCAGGACGCTTCCAGGGACCCCGCGGGATCTTCTTCTCCCTCTCACCCTCCCCCGGGACCTCCCCTCTCTCGTGGGGAAGAGATTACAGGAACGGGGTCCCCTTCGAGTCGATCACGCTGTTGTTCGATTCTCCTCCGGCTGGAGCGTTTGAGGAGGTGGGCCGAGGAAAGAGGGGGGGGTGGTTCTGGGAGGCTCATGCAGGTTTCAAGGTGGTGCGGGGGAAAAAACGACGAAGAGCGAGGGGGAAACAGAGAAGGAGGATGAGGAGGAGGAGGCAGAGGAGGAAGAGGAGGAGGATCGAGGATCGGGGTTCGAGTCGATGTTTCATTTTTCGTGGTCTTTTTTTGGGGGGCTCTCTGGAAGCCTCCGAGGATTTCTGGGGACGTCCTGGAGGCGTCTTGGGCCGTCTTGGGGCCCTCTTGGGCCGTTAGGGGACGCTTTTGGGCGCCTCTTGGGGTGTCTCGGGGCGATATTGGGGGCCTCCTGGGCCGTCTTGGCGCGTTGGCAAACGTCAGAGGCAAGAGCCGCCGTGGTGGTCGTCGTCGTCGTCGTCGTCGTCGTCTTCGTCGTCGTCGTCGTCGTCGTTGTCTTCCCTCCTCCCTCGTCGTTGTCGTCGGCGTCGCCGTCCTCCCTCCTTCTTCGTCGTTCGCGTCGTCGCCGTTCTCCCTCCTCACTCGTCGTCGACGTCGTTGTCGTCGTCGTCGTCTTCCCTCCTTCGTCGTCGTCTTCGTCGTCGTCGTCGTTGTCGTCATCGTCGTCTTCGTCGTCGTCTTCGTCGGCGTCGTCGTCGTCGTTGTCGTCATCGTCGTCGGCGTCGTCATCGTCGTCGTCGTCGGCGTCGTCATCGTCGTCGTCGTCGTTCGTCGTCGGCGCCGTCGTCGTCGTCGTCGTCGTCGTCGTCGTCGTCGTCGTCGTCTTCGTCGTGGTCGTTGTCGTCGCCGTCGTCGTCGTCGTTGTCGGCGTCGCCGTCGTCGTCGTCGTCGTCGTCGTCGGCGTTTTCATCGTCGTCGTCGTCTGCGTCGTCATCGTCGTCGTCGTCGGCGTCGTCGTCGTCGTCGTCGGCGTCGTCGTCGTTGTCGCCGTCGTCGTTGTCGCTGTCGTTGTCGGTGTCGGTGTCGTTGCCAAGTGCCATTTGGTACCTGCCGTCACGGTCTTAAGAGGTCTTGCGACCAAGTTGCGGGTGGGAGGGCGGGATGTTTGCAAGAGCAGTGGGGAGGACAGCTTCAAGACAGTCAAAGTGACTTGCGCCACATATATTGCACCACTATGCGTCCACCACTTCACTGGCACCGCATAACTGGGCTGTGCCACATTCTAGATTAACATGTTTGTGTGTGTGTGTGTGTTGCGCCACCTCGCTTCATCCGTATCATGTCGAACACAGCCTGTATATTATATGCTGCACCACATAGCTTGAACTACACAAGCTTGCGCTACATAGCTTGAACTCGACGTCGCTTGCACCACACACTTTGCACCACGGATGCTGAACTCCAAACGTTGCACCACATCGTTGGTCGCACACTGCTTGTCCTGAGTGCAGTTATCAACAGTTCCAGGTTTAGAAGGCAAACTTTCACAACAAGAAAATGAGGTCAGTAACTTCGGCGACGTCGTCCGCGCTTGGCGCAAGACCTTGGACCTCGATGGGAACGGCCGGCTCCAATTTCAGGAGTTCCTCGCTGGTTGTAAGAAGGCGGGCTACAGGGACGACCTGAAGACGATCTGGAAATCCTTGGACTGCAAGGGGAAGGGCTTCGTTGAGCTCATCGACCTGGACGCCGACGCAGGGCAGAAATTGAACGACTTCCGCGACTTCCTGGAGGAGAACTACCAGACCCTCGAGGATGTGTGGGAACGCGTCTTCGACAGCAACGGATCCGGCAGGTGCACCAAGGACGACTTCGTCGCCTCGTGTGCGCGCATCGGTTGGCCAGGCAACGCCTTGCAGATGTTCGGCTGGCTGGACTTGAGCGGCACGAACATCACTCTGGACGAGATGGATCTCATCGGGATGAGCCGGCGCGCGAAGGCAGTGATGTCCGCCAAGGAGAGGGTACTCGAGCGGCAGGCCAAGGACGCCGAGCAGGCGGCCGCCATGCTGCAGAAGTTCCGGGATTACCTGAGGAAGCGCTACGGCAGCCTCGTGAAGGCCTGGCGAACGTACCTCGACCCTGACGGCGACGGCAAGCTGCAATTCACCGAGTTCTGCGCGAAGTGCCGCGAGATGGGCTTCCAGGGGAACCTGAAGGCGCTGTGGCTGTCGCTGGACGAGGACGGCACGGGGTACGTGTCGCTCGACGAGCTCGACCCCGAGTTCCGCACCAGCGGCGCCGCACCAGCGGCGGGCGCCGGACACCCCGAGGTCGGAGCCCAGGCTGGCGCCGCCGCAGCAGCGGGCGACGGCGGCGGGGAGGAGCCCACGAGCGCCGACAAGGAGCCCGCCGAGGAGCCCGCGAGCTCCGCGAGGCGCTCGGCGTCTGGAGCTCGCCGGCCCTCGTCCGCCGAAACGCGGCGGACGTCGAGGACGTCGTCGCAGGGCGAGCGAGCTGCTCCAGAGCCGAGCAGCGCCCGCCAGCCGAGGCCGTCTTTTCTGAGCCGGCCCAGCCTGCTGGCCACCCCCCGCACCTCAGCCCCGGAGAAGCGTCGGCAGTCGAGCACCCTGGCGCCGCCGGATCCAGGGCAGGGCCGGCGGAGTTCCAGGGATCGGCGACTACAAAGGGTATGGTGACGCCGGGGTGTGGTTTGCGATCGGCACCGCTGGGGCCTGGGGGGCACGACGCTGTCCTCGTCGGGCCTCCTCGGGGCGCGGGAGAACTCTGTCGAGGTTCCCGCGCGCCCCCTAGGGTGCCCCCCAGGATGTTCCCCAGGGTGCCAGTTGCAGACCACACACCCTTTGCAAAGCACACCCTTCTTGGAGTCGCCGCAAGGAGCCCGACGAGTCCAAAGGCACCAGGAGCTCCAGGGGCTCGGAGACGGCGCGGCCGCCGCCCGCCGCAGCGCCAGCGCCCCCGAGGGACACCCCGAGGCCCAGCGGAGCGCCACCCCCGCGGGCCAGCTTCGTCGGACCCCTCGAGCCGGTGCTGCGGACTCCGAGGCGCAGCGTCCTGGGGCAGCAGCTGCAGCCCCTGCCGGACGCGGCCGGCCCCGCCGCGGAGCAGGCGCCCCGGGCGGCGGCGAGCGCGCTGCTGGCGCCGCCCGCCCCGGGCGCGGGGGCCTCGGCGAGGGCCTCGGGGAGCGGGGCGTCCCTGCTGCCGCCGGCAGCGGCCGCGGGCTCGAGCTCGAGGGCGTCGGCGCGGGCCTCGAAGAGCCCGAGGGCCTCGGCCCGGGAGGGCGCGCCGCCGCCCAGTACTCCGAGGACCTCGGCCCGCCCGGGCGACGGCGCGCCGCCGCCCAGCACGCCGAGGACCTCGGCCCGTCCCGGCGACGGGGCGCCGCCTGGTCCGAAGGTCGGGAGAGGAAAAGGCGCCAGTGCCGCTGCCTCTGGCTCGTGGTTTACCCTTGTTGGGGCCGAAGTTCGGAGAGTTTGAGGTTTTCGAGGTCTTGAGCGGTTTTCGTCGGTTCGCGGAGGTTTTTCAGCCTCGGGGTGCTTCAGCGGCTGCGCCTCGCTGAGAGCGCTCTGGGGGTGCCCGTATCGTCCCTAACGGCCGTGGGAGAGCCCAAGTATGACCCAACAATCAGGGGAGCCAGAGGAGGAACGGGTACACACATATACTGCTACACTTCTCTCGTTTTACCCCTTTTTGGGGCTTCCTGGGAGGCCGTCGCCGCCACAGCTGGATCCACCTTGAAGTTCTGGTCAGAACTCACCCCATGAGAAGTCTGGGGAGTAGCGGTATCGGTGCACCTTCTGTTCCCCAGAATCGGGGAAACGTAAGACTCGAGTAAGCCGGAACTCGGGTTAGCCGACATTTTTTGACGAGCGCGTCCTGGATTTTGACGGTCCAGTTTTCGTGGGATGTTTGCAGCGGGAGCCCGCGCCAAATTTCAGATATGGCCCCGTCAGGCCAACCCGAGTCTTCCTTACCTGAGTCTTATGTCTCCCCGACAGAAGGCCTCTGCCCGCGAAAGCTATCGGCCTCCCGTGGACGCGGGGCCGAAGGTGGACAGCAAGGGCAAGGTGAAGCGCGGGGCCGGGCGCGCCAACATTTTCTCCGTCGGCGGGAGCAAGCCGAAAGCAGCGCCCAAGCCAGCGGCAGCGGCGAAGAAGTAGCGGCTCGCACATGGACGGGTTGGCTCTCGTTGCTCGGCAAAAGAGAGAGAGAGAGAGAGAGAGAGAGAGAGAGAGAGAGAGAGAGAGAGAGAGAGAGAGAGAGAGAGAGAGAGAAAGAGAGAGAGAGAGAGAGAGAGGACGTGACGGCGGCAGGAGGCAGGGCGAGTGCGGATGGGGAGGAACTGGAGATGTGGGAGGCGGGGAGGCGGCCTGAGGTGGAGAGGGGGGGTGCACACGAGGGGAGGGGAGGGGAGGTGAGAGGAGAGGAGGCGAGAGGGGGGCGGGGGAAGGTGAAAGTGGAAAGATGAAACATTGAGGGAAGGGGAGGGGGAGGAGCCCGGGAGAGAGAGAGAGAGAGAGAGAGACCGTGCACTGCCCCTTTCTCCTGCCTTCCCCGGGCCGCTTCCCTCGGAGTGGGTCCGCAGTGGGGGCAATGCCTAGTCCGAGTGTGGCTCGGGCGTGTGCGTCGACCACGGCCCCATCGACGCGACCACGCTGAGTCCGAGCGTGGCCTGGGCATGTGCGTCTAGGCCTCCCACATAGGGCCCGAGCAGATGGGGTCGGAGGATCGCGCAGCATCGCCGATACATCGACAATACATCCCCGACGAGGAGAAGGCGGAAAGGGAGGAGGAAAGAGAGCAGGAGGAGGAGGCGGATGATGATGATGATGAGGAGGATGATGATGATGATGATGAGGATGAGGAGGAGGAGCAGGAGGAGGAGGAGGAGGAGGAGGAGGAGGAGGACAAGGAGGACGAGGAAGAGGAGGGGGGAGGGAGGAGGAGGAGGAGGAGGAGGAGGAGGAGGAGGAGGAGGAGGAGGGGAGGGGCGAGGGGGGCGGAGGAGGATGAGGAGGATGAGGAGGATTAGGAGGAGGAGGAGGAGGAGGAGGAGGAGGAGGAGGAGGAGGGCCAGATTGGCTTGGCCACTTCAGTTTCCTATCACGTGAGCTCCTGGTGGAGCACCCGCTTTTGCCGTCGGCACCTTCAGAAGGTGCGGCACTCATGGGGCGCGATGGCAGTGCCTGGAAGAGGTGGAGTGACAAGCTGTGGAAGGATTGGAACAGTTTGGATTGATCTCAATTTTAAGTGGAAGTGCGTGTCCTGCGGATGCTTGAAGAATGCTGGATGGAGGCGGTGGTGCAAGCACTGCAGCGCGGCCAGGAAGGAAGTCTCGGCAGGTGGGTATGCTGAGCCGCCAGGAGTCTGGGGTGGCCACCAGAAGCATGGGCTCTTCGCGTTCTCGGGTGGTCTTTTTCCTGGTGGGCATGTTCCTCCTGCTGGGGATGTACGTCCAGTCGGGGTGCAGCTGCAGCAGTCGGGGTGGATTGGTGCTGCCCCGCCTGCCACCCAGTACACAACCGACCAGTTGCCGTCTCTGCGCGCCCTCCAGAAGTCAATGGTTGACTTGAGGGACAAGCTGGGCGCGGCTCGCTACCAGCAGGCGGTCGATGAGCTGGAGAAGGCTGCTGCTCCAGCGCCTGGGCCCACTGTTGGGGCGGCCAAGCACGCCATGGAACAGGCGCAGTGGCAGCTCAACAAGGCCGTGGCAACGACAGAGAGCTTGGAGGAGCAGCTCGCAGAAACTCGTCAGGCCGCTGCTGACGCCTAGAGAGCTTACGAGCACTGCGAGAATGTCTACAATGAGGCGTTGGTCGGCCTGGCCGCCAAGGTCGTTCCTGAGGAGAAGAAGCCTGAGGTGCAGCGCATCAGCCTCGAGGGCGTGCTGTCTGCCAAGGATATCGACTTCGACGACGGGGGCCTCTTCGGGATCGACCAAGTCGATGGCGTTGAGGTCTCGGCTACTGATCGTGAAGAATGGGGTCGTGGAGAGCTGGGCTTCAGCATCTCGTACAACAAGCAGCACGCGAGGCCTTCCAAGGCCTTAAGGAGAAAGCTAGGTCGATGTTGGAGGAGCAAAACCGCCTCAACAAGCGGATGGAGGCGAAACGTCGTCGTCAGGGCAGCTCTGACGGTGGCGGGGTGGCTGCTGGCGCGGGCGGTGCTGGCGAGGCCGCTCCTGCAAGCGCTCCAGGCGGTGGTCAGTCAGCTCGTGAAGAGGTGATCTGTCTTTGCAGGAGGGGCCGAGTGCACCGTCGTCCCAGGGACGGCCAGTCCTTACCGTTTGGCCTGAGCAGTTGGATGAGGTCTACGCCAAGGCCAAGGAAGCTGCCAAGGCCAAGGGCAAAGGTCACGCTGTCAAGTCTGGTGCTGATAAACACCATGGGTAGAACGATGATTAATTACCATCTGGACGGCCAACACGACCACCTGGGGGCCATATACTTCGTTCGTGGAGAAGAAGGCTGAGCTGCGCCGCCAGGACGCACAGGTTCGCAAGGCGCTGAGCTCGGCGCCTTCCGGCAGAGGGAGCGCAAACACTTCTATCGACTCTCCATAGGCCTCATCTGTATTTTTTCAGGAGGTTGGAGTTCGACCAGTAGATCAGATCGTTCGTGAGAAGATGTTCGGGAACGAGGGCCTTCTCACGTCGGTGGCGCCGTCTTCGCCGTCCAGGGAAACCGAATCAGGGGGTGTCTCAGGAGGAATCGCTATCGGAGTGCCAGCGTGCATTGGACTGGGTAGACCTCCTGAGCTGACCCAACCTTTACCCTCTTCTTACAGGGCCTTTGATAAGGTGGGTCAATGCTTTTCTGCCAGGAGGTGTGCGTGTGGTTTCCTTGTGTCCACCCACGACCGATCCCTTTGGCCCTGAGGACACGCAGTTGCTAAGCAGACTGGGTGAAGCTTTTCACTCAGCAGGTCTTGCCTTTTTGATCGGTGGCGGCTGGAATGCTCCGCCGGGGTTGCTGCGGCGTCTTGGTTGGGCTAGCAGACTGGGCGGTGCGATTATCCCCCCGTATTTGCCAACATGTACGTCTGGAAAGCGTGAATGGAGAACGCTCGACTATTTTGCCATCTCAGAGGCCCTTGTCCCCACGGTTGTCTCGTGCCAAGTGTCGCTCGGATCCCATCTGAAACCGCGTCGACCCGTTCGACTCGTCATGAGAAGCAAACCGATGATGCAGATGATGACCGTCCTCAAGGCCCCCAGGAAGTTCCCCAAGGAGCGCCCAGTTGGACCCGTTCCAGGACCTCCTCGAGAGCGGCCTCAGGTTATCACCTCCCTCGAGCACCGGGGGGCCCAGGGGGACCTCGACCTATGTTTTGGAAAACTCACGGGTTTGCTGGGGCAGGAGCTGGTTGCTCTGATGCTGAGAGGTCTCGCTACGCAGGATCTGGACACGGTTGGAAAGTTAAACGAGTCCCTGCCATTCCCTTTTCTACGAGCCCATGCCCTCTAGCGTGCCCTGTGAGTCGGGATTGGCGGAGGTGGGGTAACTGGTGCCAGGGGTTAGCTCGTCTTCTGTCACAGGAGTCTGTCAAGGACACTGTGGGGGCTGCCGCCCTTTTCGCGACGATCTTGCTCGGCGTCCCGCTGCTGGGGAGCAGCGAGAACTGGCAGGGCATGTGGTGCGTTACCCTGGCTATCCCTCTTGGTGTGATGCTGCGGCGCCCGTGGACTTGCGCGGTGCGGCTGGATGTCGCGGGGGGAAGTTGGAGTCCAGGTTTGCAAGCAGTCGCGCCCGACAGTGGCGAGGATTTGTTCAGCAGGCAGTGCAGGCAGGGGGAGGTAAAGCTCATCTATATACGCGTCACCCCTTTGGTTGGCGCCCCGTGGTACCTCGCGAAGGAGACCCCCCCCCCCGGGACCCGCTGAGTTGATCGAACAAAATCTTCAGGACTGGGGGTCTGTATGGGGTTCAGAAGGACATGATGCGGGGCCTCTCCAGGATCCGGATCGAGTTTTTGAGGAGCTTAGAGGGCTGCTTCATGACCAGCAATGCCCTGTCCGCCACTTTCACCTTCAGAAATAAATACGGTTTCACGGAAGATGAAGGCGTGGTCGGCTCATGACATCGACAGAGTAGGACCTCGCGATTTCCTGCTCTTGTCTGATGATTGATGAAAGGTGCTCAACTTGGTCTGGGTATGGATGTTGTATGGATGTTGCAGCGTGCTGTTCGACCTTCTCAAATGAGTTTAACCCTGCAGCCAGCTCTACCTAGGCCAGATGATGATGGACATCGCTTGGTAGCTCTATTGAGTACGACGGTTAGGCAATGGCACAGGTGCGCTAGAGAAATCGCAGCAACGTGGGAGCACGATGGCCATATAATATTTGCTTATGCGTCCAGGGGCAAGTCATGTGAGCGAGCTGTTTGGGGGCAAGCTTTCACGGCTTGGCATGCGAGTTTAAATTGTTTTTCCATCGTGCACAACATCATAGACCTAACTAAGGCGTGCGAGAAAGTTCGGCATGGACAGTTGGTCTTCAAGGCGCGCCAGGTCGAGTTTCCCTTGCTTCACTTGCGACTGTGCCTGGCGATCTACTGCCGCCCCAGCATGTTGCTCATAGGCTTAGGGGCCTCGAGGCCCACAGCTGTTTATTCGACGATTTTGGCAGGCTGCGGGTCTGCCGCGACACTTCTGCGGGTTGTGATCACCAGAGAGTTGGATGAGATACCTCGCAACTTCCGTCTCATTCGTCTCTACAACGTCGTGGGCGATATCACGGTCCAGGTTGTTGCTGCCCTTTCCATCGGCAAGTCGACGGCCGTCAAGGCCGCGCAGGCGCTCTGCAGGAAGTCAGGGGCTGCCGAGCTTTCCATCTCTCGCACGAAGGGCCAGGCGGTTGCCAGCGCCGCGGCCCTTGCCAAAGGAGTTCGTGCTGGCCTTAAGCAGTGGGGCTTCTGGTTTTCCCAGGTTGTCAAAAATCTGGGAGTTGATTTCTCGATCGGTGGCGCTCGATCAGCTCGAATACAGAAAGCCAGGCATGCCAAGATTCGTAGTCGTGCGGGCCGCTTTCGGGGCTTGAAATCGCAGTTCCAGAAACTCACCCGTATTTCACGTGCTGGAGCGCTCCCTGCTGGCAGCTATGGCACAGGTGTGACAGGCGTGGCGCCCCGACGGCTCCAGACTTTGCGCTGCTCGGTGGCGGAATGTATTTTTGGGCCGGCTTGCGGGCGCTCACGGAC